ATAACATCCATTGTCAAAGTATATATGTACATACGTACGACAACACTATGTAATGTTGACAACGCAACATTGTCAACATTGCAACAATTCGTTCACTATTGACAATCAATCCGTTGCCAATAGTGAGCTTACATTTAGACAACGGATGTGTATAAAATTTAGATTTCGACAACGAATTGTTGCAATGTTGTCAACATTACATAGAGTTGTCGTACGTATGTATGTATATACTTTGACAACGGATGGTATTGAAAAATTATAAACAGTTTGGTGTCAATTTGGTACCAGGCATGTATATTTCTTTTCTCTCTTTTTTTGTCAAACTAAGCACAAGAACAAAATATGCCGTTTGAAACTTCAGAATACGATTGTACGAACCGCTCTTTCTTCTTTCTTTTACCCTTTAGTAGTTCGCTGTACGCGTCTCATAACAATTGTTTAATAACAAATAGAACAACAATAAATAGCAACAACATTTTCAAATTGCAATTTGATGATGCATAAATATAAAGCAGCAGCAATAACAACAACACTTTTAAATTAAGAAAACACAAATAAATAGTGATAATTAATGAGAGAGAGAAAAAAAAATACAATACTAATTATCAACATTAATAATGATAAACAGAAAACGTATGAATAAAACAACAACAATAACAGTAGTAGTAAATTTGACGTAGTATTTTAACAATAACAAAATAACCCAGCAAACAATAAAGGTCTGATTTAAAAAATAGGGAAATGTAGTGAAAAGAAATAACAATAATATTTATGTATGTTGAAATCGTTCTCAATTTGATAAGATGTTTTTTTTTCAGATTTTTGTGTTTATGTTTGCTGGGTTATTGACACACACTCACTTCTTCACATTAAAACAGTTGGCATTTAAATTAAAATAATAAACAGATGTTAAAAGACCTCTTAGAAGAGAGGTTTGTGAGGGTGTTGGGTATTGTTGTTATAGGGTGGGATCGAGCAATTGCATGATCAATCGTTTTGTTTTTATATATTGTATTCATAGTACTATTTTTTCTAGGTCTAAGAGTATATTTTTATACATTGTTCTTAAAAGAAAGGGAAATCAATGTTATGTTTTCTGTTTACACCATTTCCAATCGAAATTTGAAAAGTTTAAAAAGCGATTTTTGGCAAATCTATAAAAATTGTTTAGATATTTGAAATGAATCGAAATAAACGCTATTCCAAAAAAACTAGCTCTATATTTGTAAGGCGATAAGCTGGAAAGACAAAATGCTCAAGAGAGAGTGCTTTGCCGATACCAGTCGATATAGAGAGTAAACTAAGTTTCTAATGTTTTAAATAAAAATGTCTAACCCTTCTCTGTATATCTCTCTCTCTCTCTCTCTTTCGGCAAAAAGTGAATTCATGATAGAACATATCAGCTCTGGTTAGCTTCTGCTAGTTTACTTTTTCTCTTTCTTTTTTAATTGTGATTAAAAAGAGAAAAAGTCCAAGCACTTCCTCGGGTTAAAAGATCGGTTTGAAGATCATTATGTGAACATGAACATTCCCTGTATATCTCTCTCTCTTTCGGCAGAAAGTGAATTCATGATAGAACATACCAGCTCTGGTTTACTTTTTCTCTCTCTCTTTTAATTGGGATTAAAAAGAGAAAAAGTTCGAGCACTTCCTCTGGTTTAGAGATCGGTTTAAAGACATTATGTGAACTCGATTTGCACGAAACCAATTGCATCGAACGTAGTTTCTCGAATGATTGTCTAAGAAGCGGAGATACTCCCATTAACTCAAATGAGGAGGAGGTGGAAAATACCCTTTTAAGGGGTGCAACGCTAATGCTGACAACGTCTTCGAAGCTGATGATTCTTATGCAATATACAAGACGCCACCTGTACTTCGAGTACTTGCGGTAAACGTTCTTCTATATTCTTGCGTTGCGACTCTTTGGCAACCACTACTTTGTCAAGTGGTGGTGTATTTGGGGCGGTAAGGGTCCCTTGACTTGCTTGTATTAACTTATATGTGTTCAGATATTATTCCCACGTTCTTCTATATTCTTGATTTGCGACTCTTTGCCAACCACTTCTTTGTCAAGTGGTGGTGCATTTGGGGCGGTAAGGGTCCCTTGACTTGCTTGTATTAACTTATATGTGTTCAGATATTATTCCCACGTTCTTCTATATTCTTGATTTGCGACTCTTTGCCAACCACTTCTTTGTCAAGTGGTGGTGCATTTGGGGCGGTAAGGGTCCCTTGACTTGCTTGTATTAACTTATATGTGTTCAGATATTATACCCATCGATTAAAGACGCAGTTCAAAGGACTCCGAATATTGTGTACGCTCGATATCGAGTCAAGCGCGTAGATTAAGTGGTTGTATAGGTCGTATAGGACATATCAACTAAGAAAGTAGTAATCTAGAGTCCAGTTACTCGGTTCTGCTTGTAATAACTTTAAAAAATGGTTCTGTTACTTTGAGAGAAAGATTTAAATATGAGATAAATAAGAGATTTAAAATATAATAAGTATGGCAACTTATTAGAGAATAGACACCGATTCCGGTTGTTTAAATCAAGTACAAAAACACTTTTTCAAAAATTTGTTTAACCCAGAAATGGTGTTGAATATTTTTTTTTTATTCATAGTAAATATTTTCTTTTTTTATCAAACTTGTACTAGAAGTAGAAAATAAAATATGTTCTGAAAAAAATTTTTTTAATTCTTTTCATCAAATTTCAATTGTTTTCTCAAACAAGTGATTAGTTTGTGTTTACATTGAAGACAACAACAACAGCAGCAGCAACAATATAATGTGCTGTTTCTCTACAACAATTAATTGAAATGTTTATAATTTTGTATTTTGTTTTTTCTGTTTTAAAAACATTTGCCCTGGTTGTATGAGGCAAAACAATTTATAAAGTCGATAAAATCGTGTTGTACATGTTGTAGTTTTTGTCGAATAAAAAATAAAAGTTGTGTGAAAAATATCTGAAAAAACAATTGATTTATTTTAGTTTATTTTTAACAACTTTATAGAGAATGGTGTGAAAAAATATTATGAAATTTTAATAAAACGTGGTACTTGCCCGTTAATGATACTGCTTGTTGATTAACATGATTTAGAAAGTTTGCTTTTTAATTAATTAATGCCTTAAGTATGTTGTTTGGGAGTAAACTCAAGGTTAAGTTTTAAAAACAAATATTTGGCATAAAACTGTTAAAGAAAAGTGTTAAATAAATAGTTCATTGAACTAAATTTTTTTTAAGAAATCAAAACTATTTTTATGATATTTAAGAAAAACATAAACAATTGAAAAATATAAATAAATTAAAATTTCGTTAATAAAACTGCTTGTTTAAAAAAAGTTTCAGTGAAATCCCAAAGTTTAAAAAAACTATGATTAAACTTTTATAAAACTAACAAAAATTTTGCAAAATTTCTTTACAGAATTCCTTAAAAATTACACCAAATCTAAAAAAAAATAAATTAATCAAAACTCGCATTATAATCAAAATAAAGTTTTATTAAAAAAAAAAAAAAAAAAAAAAAAACTTTTTTTAAAAAAACCATAATACTTAATACATAAGCAAAAAATGTTACAACGGCTATGATTGCAACGCTTTTTATAATATTTGCATTTATACGGGCGTTTCCCTGGAGCAGACGGCGGGCTTACAGTGATTCATCTCAACAGCCCACAGAAGCCGATATTGAAGCCTCCCATAACCCACCGTCCCTGACACAAACCAATCCAGATGTACAGACTACAGTGCCAACGACAGAACATCAATTAACAAACCTCAGCAGCAGCAACTCCCCTCCCATAACTACTACTACTAACACCACCACCACTACCTCCTCCAACTCTCCACAGGGCTCTAGCGATAATGTGCCCCGTAAAGCCTCTACAACACGTCGTAAATCCTCCAAATCTATTAAATCCCATGAAGTAACATTTAGCGGTAGTGTGGGTGGTGGTGACAGTGATTCGGAACGTACACCCACCTCTTCCAGAACAAATAGATTAGTTAGACAACCTAGATCATTTACTGGTATTACTACCAGTCCGTCCAGAGCCACCTCACCCGAAAGTAATAGTTCTTCAAATTACTATCGTTCTGCCTTGAGTTCCAGAAGCCAACTAACACGTGCTTCCTCCGATTACGAAACAGCAGCTAGTGATTTCTATAACGCCCCCCGTTCAAAATCATCGGCGGAACGTGATTTACACGAAACCAATGGCATCGAACGTAGTTCCTCGAATGGTTATCTAAAAAGGGGTGACACTCTCGTTAACTCGGATGAGGAGGAAACGGAAAACTATCGCTTAAGGGGAGCAGGTGCTGATGCTGACAACGAAGCCGAAGCTGATGATTCTTATGATCGTGATACCGAGGAATTCTATAGTAATATACAAGACGCCGCCGGTACTTCGGGTACACGCAGTAAACGTTCTTCTCTATTCTCGCGTTCCGACTCTTCGGCCACCACTACTTCTTCGAGTGGTGGTACTTTTACGGGCGGTAAGAGGCGTTCGACTGCCTCGATTATATCAACTTCCATGTGTTCAGATATTATACCCATCGATCGTAGACGTAGTTCAACGGCCACGGAATATAGTGTGCGTTCTGTGTCGAGTCAACCGCGTAGATTAAGTGGCCGTATACGTCGTCATATATCGCGTATGACGATCGCGGGAGCTAGAAGGCGTACAACGGGCAGGTATATACTTATATATGAGAAATGTTTTGTAATTTATTAAGTTTTGTGATTTGAACCTAGTACAACATAATGGACCTTACTTTACTGAATTGATGCAAAACGCCACCTTTTTTGAACTCATTAAATGAACTCCTTAAAGGTCGGTCAAGACAAAAAACGTTGTTAAAACCAACAAAAGTACTTTCGGCGAATGAAAACTCGTAAAAAAACTTATATTTTATCAAAATATTTTATTTTTTCAAAAATGTTTATTTTTATTCAAAAACTTTTAGTTAAAATTATGTTCATACATATCTCTGCCATTACTACGAACCATTTTCCTTTTGCCACTTCACATGTCTCTCCATCAAGTCCAAACTCAAAGGCTTCACCTGTTTAAAAGCATTTTCGACGGGTATTTCTTCAACAGCTTTCTCCCCCTTTAACTTAACTTTAGTTATTTTCCTAACCGTTTGCATGGCAATTTCTTTGCAAGCCAAACGTATTTCATCCCCAGTAAATCCTTCTGACATTGTCACCAACGTAGACATTTGCTGTTCCGTAAGTTTAACATTCAAAGGCAATAGTTTACCAATCAACATCGCCCTTTCCACCTCATTGGGCAGTTGCACTAGAACTTTCTTTTCAAATCTTCGCAAAAAAGCTTGATCAATTTCCCAGGGCAAATTGGTGCTAGCCAAGATAAACAAGCCCATAGTGGATTGTTCCAAACCATCCATTAGTTGCAGCAATTCATTTTTGAAACGTTTAGAAGACTCATGATCAGCACAACGATCACGTTTGGAAGTAAGACCCTCAATTTCATCCAGGAATATTATAGAAGGAGCCTGTTTCAAGGCCACATGGAATAATACTTTTAACAATTTCTCCGACTCACCACGCCATTTGGACACCACTATACTGGAGGTTATATTAAAGAAGGTAACTTTTTGTTTCGTTTCCGAGTACAATACCTTTGCCAGCAAAGTTTTGCCACTACCGGGGGGACCATGCAATAAAACCGAACGCCAAGGTTTTAAACCGTTATTAAAGAGTTGAGGATAATTGAGAGGCATTAACACCGCCTCCTTTATCACTTCCACTGCCTTATTGTTGCCACAAATATCCGACCATTTTAATTTTAAATCATCATTTATAATAGTGGATTTAACAAGTTCAGCTAGATTTTGCCATTCTTGGCAACTTAACAATAAATCACTATTAGCTGAAGGACAGCCATGTTGTATTTCCTGTAAACGGGTCAAAGATTGTGTATCCGTTTCGCTAAGTTGTTCTTTTTCTTTTGCATGGTATTCTTGCTGTTGTTGTTGTATTTGTGGTTCATTTCTCAATTGTGTAGCCATTTTCTTAACCGTTACTTGCAGGTCATTAACATCAAATGTTGTGCCAGCGTTGGTAGCCGCCTTAACATTTTGTGACGTCGTCTCCACTTCCGTTGCTGTCTGCTGCTGTTGTTTGGTTTTCTTCCTTTTGACTGCCAGTTCCAACTTTAGGGGCTGTTGTTGCTGTTGTTGTTTTTTCAATATTCTTGGATATTTGCCAAATTTCAATTGATAATAACTGGCATATTCCAAATAAATGCCATCCAAGTCTATATTGTCGCACAATTCATATTCATCGCTCAATTTGGCCTCGTTTTTTAAGGCTGCCGCCGTGCCATAAAAACCATTATCATTTAAATAACGTTGCACTAGATATAATAAATTCTTACGTCTCGCATGGATATTGCGTATTTCTTCATCTTTGGACATGTTTGTTTTTTATAAAAGAATTTATTTTTTTCTTCAGTCTCTTTTTTATAAAAAATAGAAAAATGAAGTAACAATTTATATTTTGTTTATTTTTGTTTGTTTTTTATACAAAATATATTTTTTTATTCCGTTTTTAAATTTTGTTTTACAAAGTTGTGTTTTTCCTTTTGGCTGTTTACAAAAAATAGTGTTTCAACAAACTAAAAAATACAATTTTTATTTTGTGTCCTTTTGTTTGAGCAGTCAGTTGTTATTTTGCAAATAAGTGGAAAAGAATGAATGTCTTGTTATTTGGTTGTTTCTTTGGCAACTTTTGTATTTTATTATTAGTATACAGTTAAGCCTTTAAGAACGGCTACTTCAGTTCTAGTTCGGTTCTATTTCTAGTTCGGTTCTAGTTCAGTTCAGTTCTAGTTCAGTTCTAGTTCAGTTCTAGTTCAGTTCTAGTTCAGTTCTAGTTCAGTTCTAGTTCAGTTCTAGTTCAGTTCTAGTTCAGTTCTAGTTCAGTTCTAGTTCAGTTCTAGTTCAGTTCTAGTTCCGTCTAGTTCATTAGTTCAGTTCTGTCAGTTCTAGTTCAGTTCTAGTTCAGTTCTAGTTCAGTTCTAGTTCAGTTCTAGTTCAGTTCTAGTTCAGTTCTAGTTCAGTTCTAGTTCAGTTCAGTTCTAGTTCAGTTCTAGTTCAGTTCTAGTTCAGTTCTAGTTCAGTTCTAGTTCAGTTCTAGTTCAGTTCTAGTTCAGTTCTAGTTCAGTTCTAGTTCAGTTCTAGTTCAGTTCTAGTTCAGTTCTAGTTCAGTTCTAGTTCAGTTCTAGTTCAGTTCTAGTTCAGTTCTAGTTCAGTTCTAGTTCAGTTCTAGTTCAGTTCTAGTTCAGTTCTAGTTCAGTTCTAGTTCAGTTCTAGTTCAGTTCTAGTTCAGTTCTAGTTCAGTTCTAGTTCAGTTCTAGTTCAGTTCTAGTTCAGTCTAGTTCAGTTCTAGTTCAGTTCTAGTTCAGTTCTAGTTCAGTTCTAGTCAGTTCTAGTTCAGTTCTAGTTCAGTTCTAGTTCAGTTCTAGTTCAGTTCTAGTTCAGTTCTAGTTCAGTTCTAGTTCAGTTCTAGTTCAGTTCTAGTTCAGTTCTAGTTCAGTTCTAGTTCAGTTCTAGTTCAGTTCTAGTTCAGTTCTAGTTCAGTTCTAGTTAGTTCTAGTTCAGTTCTAGTTCAGTTCTCAGTTCTAGGTCAGTTCTAGTTCAGTTCTAGTTCAGTTCTAGTCAGTTCTAGTTCAGTTCTAGTTCAGTTCTAGTTCAGTTCTAAGTTCAGTTCTAGTTCAGTTCTAGTTCAGTTTTCTAGTTCAGTTCTAGTTAGTTCTAGTTCATTCTAGTTCAGTTCTAGTTCAGTTCTAGTTCCGTTCTAGTTCAGTTAGTTCAGTTCTAGTTCCGTTCTAGTTCAGTTCTAGTTCAGTTCTAGTTCAGTTCTAGTTTCAGTTCTAGTTCAGTTCTAAGTTCAGTTCTAGTTCAGTTCTAGTTCAGTTCTAGTTCAGTTCTAGTTCAGTTCTAGTTCAGTTCTAGTTCAGTTCTAGTTCAGTTCTAGTTCAGTTCTAGTTCAGTTCTAGTTCAGTTCTAGTTCAGTTCTAGTTCAGTTCTAGTTCAGTTCTAGTTCAGTTCTAGTTCAGTTCTAGTTCAGTTCTAGTTCAGGTTCTAGTTCAGTTCTAGTTCAGTTCTAGTTCAGTTCTAGTTCAGTTCTAGTTCAGTTCTAGTTCAGTTCTAGTTCAGTTCTAGTTCAGTTCTAGTTCAGTTCAGTTCAGTTCTAGTTTCAGTTCAGTTCTAGTTCAGTTCTAGTTCAGTTCTAGTTCAGTTCTAGTTCAGTTCTAGTTCAGTTCTAGTTCAGTTCTAGTTCAGTTCTAGTTCAGTTCTAGTTCAGTTCTAGTTCAGTTCTAGTTCAGTTCTAGTTCAGTTCTAGTTCAGTTCTAGTTCAGTTCTAGTTCAGTTCTAGTTCAGTTCTAGTTCAGTTCTAGTTCAGTTCTAGTTCAGTTCTAGTTCAGTTCTAGTTCAGTTCTAGTTCAGTTCTAGTTCAGTTCTAGTTCAGTTCTAGTTCAGTTCTAGTTCAGTTCTAGTTCAGTTCTAGTTCAGTTCTAGTTCAGTTCTAGTTCAGTTCTAGTTCAGTTCTAGTTCAGTTCTAGTTCAGTTCTAGTTCAGTTCTAGTTCAGTTCTAGTTCAGTTCTAGTTCAGTTCTAGTTCAGTTCTAGTTCAGTTCTAGTTCAGTTCTAGTTCAGTTCTAGTTCAGTTCTAGTTCAGTTTCAGTTCAGTTCTAGTTCAGTTCTAGTTCAGTTCTAGTTCAGTTCTAGTTCAGTTCTAGTTCAGTTCTAGTTCAGTTCTAGTTCAGTTCTAGTTCAGTTCTAGTTCAGTTCTAGTTCAGTTCTAGTTCAGTTCTAGTTCAGTTCTAGTTCAGTTCTAGTTCAGTTCTAGTTCAGTTCTAGTTCAGTTCTAGTTCAGTTCTAGTTCAGTTCTAGTTCAGTTCTAGTTCAGTTCTAGTTCAGTTCTAGTTCAGTTCTAGTTCAGTTCTAGTTCAGTTCTAGTTCAGTTCTAGTTCAGTTCTAGTTCAGTTCTAGTTCAGTTCTAGTTCAGTTCTAGTTCAGTTCTAGTTCAGTTCTAGTTCAGTTCTAGTTCAGTTCTAGTTCAGTTCTAGTTCAGTTCTAGTTCAGTTCTAGTTCAGTTCTAGTTCAGTTCTAGTTCAGTTCTAGTTCAGTTCTAGTTCAGTTCTAGTTCAGTTCTAGTTCAGTTCTAGTTCAGTTCTAGTTTAGTTCTAGTTCAGTTTTAAATAAGCTTATAAATTATAAATAAATTGTTAACCACCCCTCTTAAACGTTATATAAGGCCTTAGTGTATTCTTTATTATAAATATAGCTGAGGGATGTGTTGTTATAGTAACTTGAAATTTATTACTGGTATTATATGTATATTGTATAGCAAGTAAGTATTCTGTCTTTTTTTAAATTTTTTATTACCCAGACTTCATTTGATATGAGTAAATGTACAGAAAAAAGAAGTAAAAATAATAAAAGAACTTATTTAAGTGTAGGCACATAGTGAGGTTTCTTTTATATTACTCTCAAATAGTAAAAGGATGACAAGGATCTTTGTTTAAAATATATGTATATTTGCATTTTTTTTTTTTTTTTTTTTCTTGAAAATATATACACTTTTTTATGATACATAGTGCATTATAGAATTGCCAAATCATGTAAATGTTTTGTATAGGAGTGTAGGTTTTTGTATGTAACTATAAGAGTAAATATACATATTTGGTCCCTAAATGAAAAAAAAAAAATTGTTTATGGACTATTTACTTTATGAGTTATTGACTAATGGCAATTTTTTTGCAAAAATGATTTATAAAACTTTTTAGTCGGAAATTTAAATTACTTCCGTTGAGCAGAGAAAGGGCCACAACAGAACAAATTATTAAAGGGAAATTGTTTATAAAAACAGAATTAGGTATTAAAAAAGTTGAAGTTTTATGAGAATGGGTTTAATGGAGGTCATTTATAAAAACAGCAAAAAACTTGGCTAAAACCAATTTTAAAGGAAATTTAGGCAATTTTTTATGTTTTATAAAAAATGCTGTTTATTTAGTTTGAAGATTTTTTGGTGAATTTTTTATTAAATATGTTGATACATATTTGCTTAAACTTTGCTTACCCTATAATATCAACAACCAATATATCCTACAAAAAAAAAGAATCCACAAAATTACGATAATTAGCTAACAAAAATTTTACAAATACCATGTATGTATCATTAAATTGAATTGCTATTGATGGATTAGAACCCATAAACATACATACAAAAATGGAAAAATAAAACAGAAATGTTTTTATTCATGTAGTGGCATTTTTCGTAATGCAATTCATTTTATATCCAGGTTCTCCGCACCCCTTGCATAACCCCTTTTTTTTCCTCTTAAATCCCATTTTTATTATTCATCAATATAATAGAATTTAGAATTTGAGCAAAAATGTTATGCCAAAACATAAAAACTAATAGTATTGTTTGGTTACGTCAATAATTGCAATTGAATACAAAATACTAGGCAGATTTATATTTTTGGGTAAATACAAATTTTTGGCAATTTTTTTTTTTTTCGTTTTATATTTTGAATTTTTGTTAAAAGAAAAAATTTAATGACGCTTGAATATTTGGTAAAACAAAAATGAATTTATTTTTAAAATTGGAAAAAAATATATTATTATTCTTGTGAAATAAATGAAAAAATGTATTAAATAAGAAAATTTTTGTGGACCGATTATATGATGTTGAAATGAATGTCTAAGGCAAATGATTCACGGAAATCGCCAGTATTATATTAACATAATTTCCGAGCCCTATTTTAGGGTCCCATTATATGGGAATAATAATCATTTCGAAAGCATAACAGATGGAATGATTGAAGATTTGGATCCCGAAGTTATTTGCAGCTTTGAAAGACATACAGAAAGACGGAAAGACATAACTTAATTGATTCTGTACCAATTTCTATTCTACCTTGAATCCATTCACACATTATTCTATTTGTTTATGTCTACCATTATCTAATGCTTTTAATTAATAAATTTTCTTTATCATAACCAATTTAAAATCCTTGATAAAAGTCCTTCTAATTCTTAACATTTCTTCATTTTCTTTTATATTTTGTGAAAATCCTTTCAATGATTTTGATATTATTTTCTCAAAACATACTCAAAGTGTGTTTTGTTGTTTTTTGTTAAAGCTTAAAATCTCAATAATAATTTATGCTATAGGATTTCTAAACAAATAACATATAAACAAATAATAACATACACTAAAGCCTATATTTACATGGCGAAACAAAATACATAGCAAATAAATGCAAATAATAGCACTAATTTCTTATTGATTCCACAATAGTTTATAAAACATTGTTACACTTTAAAAGGCGAAAAACCAAAAGTTTCGAATGCTTCAAATAGGTTTAATTACAAATAAATCTAAGACCTTAGTGTATAATAATAAAACTAATAATATTATTAGTTTACCTCCTTGTGTGAGTGCAAAAGTTATTATATCCTTAAAGATAAAAAGAAAGTATAGTGGGGCG